AAATTTTAAGAAATTAAACAGGGACACGCAGCCTGTTTTTGTTGGAGTTTATACCCACAGAACTCGGTTTACAGACCTTCATTTAAAATTCCATTTGGGCAGTAAAAACAACATAAAATGACTCTCTTAGAAGCTTTCCCGAAATTTAAATTAACCACCATCATTAAAGATTCTCTTTGTCAATAGCTTGACTTCCCACTCAGATTTTATAAACATCAGTTTTGTCTAGCATGGTTTTTTTTTTTCATTGGAAGTCATGTTGGTTATGTGTGAATTGCCAATCTTTTTTATAACCTCTGCTCAGTGAGCTTATACAATGAGTTTCTGGTAAGAGACAGACGTGGGAGTGAAAATATTTCTCCCTAACCACAGGAAGGGATTTTTTTTTTTTTTTTTTTTTTTTTACAATGCCTTTTAGCTGTGGACACCCAGGGTACCTCACCCAGCAGCAAAAAGAGAGAACTCTGTTTCTGCAATTGGAAAATGACACTTTACGGTAACACTTCACTCAAGCTAAACCCTTTCATACACTTCCTCTCATGGAAGAGAAAATCCAAATAATGGGCATTTGTTTAAAATACCCACATGCCTTCATATAGAAGGCCCTTTACTGTAGGAGAAATGCACTTAAAATTAATGAATAGCTTGTGATATAAAAAATTTTTTTCACATGCATGTTCAAGTGTTTTTAATGGGATAAATTTTTGTTTATAGAACTTGATGAATTTTATTACATAGTATTAAGCATTTTCATTGATGATCAAAGAATATTGTATTGCAGAGAACGGAATGATGGTTACCAGAGGGGAGAGGGTTGAGAGTGGGCAAAATGGGTGAAGGGGATACAAACTTCCTGTTATAAAAGGAATAATTCATGGAGATGTAATGCACAGCATGGTGACTATAGTCAATAATAGTGTATATTTGAAAGTTGCCAAGAGAGTAGTAAATCTCAAAAGTTCTCATCACATTCACACAAAAATTATAACTTTGTATGGTGACAGATGGTAACTAGACTTATTGTGGCGATCATTTTGCAATATATAGAATTACCAAATCATTATCTAATGTTGTACACCTGAAATTCATACTATAATGTTACATGTCAATTATACCTCAATTAAAAAAAAAAAAGAACGTTGTATCTGTGCAGACATGGATTTCGACAAAGCTGAATAATTGCAGGTAGTCTGTGGTAACAGCCTTCAGAAGATATTGGAAGGAACTGCCTTTTATTTAACTGAAATCTAAAAAACAAAAATAACTCGCAAGGCTTGTACTTCAATTGTGAAAAAAAAAGGAAAAGAAAAAAAACTTGTGTGGTCAGGCAGTAAAATTCTGGCATAATTTTAACTAAAGAAACAAAATAATCAATAGTGTTATAAAAGCCACTTATACTCTGAGCTTGAAACAACTGCTTCATGCCACAAAATTCCTGTTGCTACCTCCGTTAGTGACTGAGTAATTCAATATGTCTTGAATGTCAACATATTTTTATTACTCAGCTAAAGTTTGCTTTGCTGGATTAAATGCCATTTAAAATGATCAATTGGCAGCTGGTTTGGGGTTATTTTCATATTTATGAGAGGGAAAAGTTTACAAGATACAAATGTTCTTTAAACTTACAGGTAAAGTCTGTGCTCTCGTAAGCCCACCTTTCATTTACCAACCAAAGAGCAGATAACATTTTAGATCTTTTTTTAGTAAATGGTTTACATAAAGGTCCCAGTGTGATGCCTCTAAATAACCAACATGGTACCCCAGTGCTGGTGGTTAAGCCCTAAGAAATGGTCTGGTTTACATTTTACCATCTTATGAAAAATAGACTGTACCAAGACAGTAAAAGAAAAGCAACAGAAACAATGAGAATAAAAATCCTGTGCAGATGAGGATGGGAAGAGAACTGGCCACTTGAAATTTTAGGTCCAGTTCGCCTAAGCCAAGAGGACTGCCAAAAATATTGCTCTCCTTCATATTTGCAACATTTCTTTATATCAAAATACAGAAAACCACCAGATAGTTTTTTTTTTAATTAAATTGTATTAATGTGAATACTCTAGAGAATCACATTCCCAGCTCAGATGAATCCAAAGGTATCATCAGGCCTCTTTGTGGTAAAAGCGATTTAACGCTGTAGGAAACAGGCGTTAGACACAGCTGCCGCGCACCCCCCCCCCGCTTTGCTCCTCCTATTTACCGGTGTTTTATGTGATAATATTTGGTTTTGTCAGATGTTTTCCAGTTGGAAGAGATTGTGGGAAATTAAAATGTGTCTGCCACTTGATGGTAGGACAAAAACTGGACAATTAAGCCACAGCTCAGTTCTCTATTTTCCACTTGCAGTAAAATGGTTGCAAGACAAAAAGGGGTGGGGGCGGTTAAGACACTTTGCCTGTATCACTGCTTTGCCTAGAAACTAGAGTCGTCCTCTTACTAGAGGTAGATTATTCTCAGTCTGTAGTAGCGTGACACTGACTTCTCAAGGTACTTGATGATGCTAGGATTCATCTCCCCTGCTCTCTGCCCCCGCAGCTCAGCCCACCCTCTGGCAATAAGAACACAGCGGCAGGTAGGGGTGGTGCTAGAAGTGGCTGGCCAGCTTCTGTTAAACTTGGGTTCCAATTTTAAGAACACCACTTGTCCTTTACAAAACACAATACATCACACATCACATTAAATTTTAGACACAGATAATCAGAGAAGAAAGGATACAGCAAGGGATACTAAAGATTTATGGTCATTTTAAATTTAATGGTAGTTCCTTGAAAGATTAAGCCTCCTGGGAAATGCCACATTTTATGCCAGTTCCTTCTGCTGTTCAGAGAAAAAGCTGGATTTCACAAAGGATGCACTAAACAGAGTTCAACCTTGCTCTGGAAAGTCCTAAAATTTTACAAATATTTACCTGTTAAACAGCTTCTCTGAGAATAGAAATCACTTCGGAAAGAGTGGCATAGCACAGACTTCAGAGTCTCACAGAGCCTAGAATCCTACATGCGTCTCTCACTGCTGTGCCCTTTGAGTTTATTACCAAACCCTTTAAGCTCCAGCTTCTTTGTCCATAAAATAGGAATAACAACAGCACCGGCCTCATCAAATGTCACAAGGGTCAAATGCAACCGTGCTTGCAGAATACACAGCACAGTGACTGCAAATAGCACCAATAAATATCATTGTTATTTTCATTACTTTCTCTTCATGGGCGTTATCATTCATCCAATAATCCTGTAAAGTAAGTGTTGTGATTCCCTCTCATAAGTGAGAAAATAGAACCTCAGGGCGATTTAAGAAACTTGCCCAGGGTGAGATGACTCAATGCCCCTTGTAAATATACACCAGAGGAGGGCGTGTTTATTTCTCTGGGAGGTGAACGTGTGGACTCTGACACTCCAAGTCTAACCCACACACTCCCAGCCCCAGGTCTCCCAGGCCTCACCCTACATAAGGAAGTTAGCACATTGTAGCATGGAAGCCCCAGAGTTCGAATCCCAGGACTGCGGGCGTTAGAGAATTAAAATAACACATAGAAAAGTGCCGAGTGCTTTTCAGTAATTAGTCATTTATTACCGGCCATTCTGGCTAGTGCCTATCAAAGCTCCCAGAAACAGCAGGGAACACCTGGAAATTAGGGCCACCTATTCTCATCTAGGGGCCAATCCCACATCAACCAGACCTAGAAAGTACCTGCCTATCCCCTCCCCACCCCCCCCACTATCAAGCCTCTGCTGGATGGCACAAACCCAGAAAGCACTGCAATAAAGGAAAGGTGTGTAGTACATGTCTTTTCTTTGAATTTGCCAAAACCATAGCTAAAGGGTGAGGCCTAGCATAGTGCCTGGTCTATACTAATTTACTTAGTAAATATTTGTTGCATAACCAAATGATCAAACATCAGTTGTACAAGTGGAGAAAGGGATTTTGGGCACTGGGTTTCTTTCTACCCTGATTCCATTACGATAAACCATTTTAAAGACCTCCAAAGTGTTCTGTAATGAGATCTGTATTCTTTTTAAAAACCATGCTAGTTATAGTTCCCACGGTCATAGTCACCAAGCCACATCGTTTTTCTTTTCCCACCACCTTTTCCGCATCACGCTTCTGTTTCTGCCATTTTTTAGCAGACCAAGTCCTCTCATCTTTATCCATTTAGTATCACGCTCCAACACCAAAGTCATTTTTTTTTAAGATTTTATTGGGGAATTGGGGAAGGGGAATAAATAGCCAAGTTGTTGTCCTTCAATCTTAGTTGTGGAGGGTGCACCTAGCTCAGCACTGAGTCCAGTCGCCATCCAGCCACCCACCGGCAGCTCACGGCCACTCAGCTCAAGGTTCCATGTTCAATCTTAGTTTGGGGAGGGGGGTCAGCCCACTATCCCATGCTGGAGTCAAACCGACAACCTTGTTGTTAGGAGCATGTGTTGTCACCAGCTGAGCGACCGTGCCACCTGTTGGCAGCTCAGCTCGGGCGCAGCTCACTGGCCCATGTGAGAATCGAACCGGCGAACCTGTTGCTCAGAGCTCGAGCTCTTAACCAACTGAGCCACCCGGCTGGCCCCCAAAGTCATCTTAATGCCACAGTTATACCACACTGCTCTCTCTGGAACATCGGGACCCACTTTCTGCCCTGTCAGCACACTTCCAGAGCAGACACATTTGCAGTTAGAGCTGACTCTCTGGCTCTTCCACAGGCCCTGCTCAAGTTCAAGTCATTGGTCACGACCATGGACAAATGGCTTCCTCTCTCCAGGTCACTGTGTCCCCATCTATGGAAGGAGGCATTTGGCCTGGATAGCCTCTAAGGCCTCCACAGGTGAAAGGTCACCCTTCCCCAACACCATCCCACAGGCCTCTCTGGGCCTTGGTCTCCTCCCTGTCAAATGAGGAAGTTAGTCCATCCAAAGTAGGCAAAAGCACTTATTCAACTATTTTTTTTATTATTGTTCTTAGGGCCTCAGAAAGAAATATTTTCAACAGTGTTGTCTTGCCCTTTTCCTCTGTAGACTGTAGACTGCTCTGGGATTACGTCTATCAGTTGCTTTCTGACAGCCGGTACGAAAACTTCATCCGATGGGAAGACAAAGAATCCAAAATATTCCGGATAGTGGATCCCAATGGACTGGCTCGACTGTGGGGAAACCATAAGGTAAAAGGGCATCAGATATCTGCTCTGTAAACTAGTGCCAAGATAAAGCCTCTGTCCCTGGGCTGGAGGATAATTGTCTATCTTCTGCTTCCTAAGTCTGCTCGTAATTATTTAGTGTCTTCCTTACCGGGCAAACCATTACACAGTTGCAAAGGGAAGGAGATAATTAACGATGCCCCTTTGTGTTTATTATTTATGCCAGGTGCCAGTTACTCAGCATATCCCGGTCTGAGAGGGCTGAGCGCTGAGTCAGCGTCTCTCCCATCCCCTTGACCTGGCCCTGCCACCCACGCTGTCACTAGGAACTGGGGAACAGGGAAGAGCTGTGGGGCTCTCTGACTCACAAGGGAGCTTTGGGAAGCGTCGCTTCTGTTCTGCTCAGTTAGAAACTCCCCTGTTTCCAAAAGCCCATTTCTACATGGAAAATACTTACGTTCTGACTTTAAAACATCCCCCTTTAAGAGCAACCAGTGCAGCAAGAAGTAGGATGGCCCCACAAGTTTCCACCCCGGGAAGAGGGAAGGGGATGTAAAAGATAAAGTCTTGTAGAGTTAGGAAAACTGGTCAAGTGTGTAGAGGTAATAAAGTGTGTAAAAAACTGCAATGTCCATCAATGGATGAATAGATAAAGAAACTGTGATCTATACATACAATGGAATATTATTCAGCCTTAAAAAAAAAAAAGGAAGTGCTGCAATATGCGATAACATAGGGGAACCTTGAGGACATTATGCTAAGTGTAACAAGCTAGTCACAGAAAGACACATGCTGCCTAATTCTACTTACTGAAGTACCTAAAATAGACAAATTCAATGAATCAAAGAGTGAACTGGGGTTGTGGGGGAAGGGAAATATGGGGAGTTACTAATCAATGGGCATAAAGTTTCCATTAAGTAAGTTCTAGAGATCTGCTGCACAACACTATACCCATAGTTAACACTGTATCATGCACTTAAAAATTCGTTAAGATGGTAGATCTCATGTTAAGTGTTCTTACCACAATACAATAAAGTGAAATAGAGTGAAGAGTTCCCCCCCTCGAAAAAATTAAATAAATAAATCTATATTGCTACTAAAAAATAAAAAAGCAAGTAACCAAGATCCAGGCCCAACAGACAGGTGGATGTGGGGCAAGGCACCGTGCGCCAGATCAGCCAAATGAGAGGGGAGGGGACAGAGGGGGGCACAACCGAGGGAGAGCTGCCCTGGCTGCGGCCTTCGGGGACCTAATGCAGGCCATGACCAAATATGGCAGAGCCCACTGACAGACACTTCAATGTGTGAGTCACTGAGAAAAATCCCTCTGCAACCCCCACAATCTGCCATAGCCCCAGGGCTCAGAACCACTGTATTCTTTTGTTTAAAGATTTTTATTGGGGAATTGGGGGAAGGGAAACAGACAAGTTGCTGTCCTTTTGTTCTTCAGTCTAGTTGTGGAGGACGTTGCTTCACTGG